TCCCTCAAGCAAGGCCCGATACTCCCCACCATCCATCTTATTACCTCGACTAATAAAGGCCGTCTTAATGTCAGACAAAGTCCCGTGGTCTAAGGCAATGTCTGATTGTGTATTATGACAGCAGCTTCTGTTAGGTGACATATGTAGCGATTTTGTGCTTTGTCCATGAACAATATATATGCTACAGCATAAAAGGTCATACCGTAAGTGATAACTCGTTTGTCTGCATAGTTATAATTTATCCACCAAATCTAATTTTATCCGAGTCCCAATCTCGAATTCAACCCTGTTTCCTATATTTATCCATACGTGAACAGGGTAATTGTATGCAGAACTTGGGATTACTGTAAGGAAATAAATGCATTTACAATTTATCATGGAACAATAATTATCCTTTTAGCTGAAGAATTCATCACTTCCTTTGGTATCTCTAGAATTAACATTAAGTTAAGATTAAAAAAAATCAATAATGTGGCAATAAATTTCAAGTGAAATCAAGCTTGTCTTTAAAGAGAGAATAAATACTATTTCTGATGACACATTGAATTAAAAGTTATCCAATTTGTCATTTTCCTCCATCCCTGCTTCTTCCGCTATTCCTGCAGGATTTCCCCCTTGTTGTCTTGGAGAGATATGTCCTCTGATTAATTCCTTCTTAAATTTTACGATTTATCTCGTCTTAATCAGTTGACGTTAGAATGCGAAGAGCTGAGAAAACATTAACACAATAACAAGCCACGGACCAAAGTTTGCTTTTGAGTATTGAGTTTATTCACATTACATCTCATCTTGTGCGGTTTGAAGAGTTTTGTATCGTGTTTCAATGAGCATAATTTGAGTAAATATTTATAACGACTGGAATTCAATACCTTCGTTACATAATTTTCTACAAAAAGTGAACATTTTCTTTATCATTGCATTTGGTAGCGTTTTCTTGGGAGGGAACACTCGCACCCAAACGCCTCTGCAACTCTTCACTACCATTTTATCAGCGTAAGGGTACTTGTAAAGATAAATGATATTAGATGTATTTTTGATGTACCTGTCATGTATTGTTAAGAGATAGCGAAAACTGATTTCCTGTCATTTCACTGGTAAAAAGTCTGGGGGTCATTTATTGATTATCAAGTCATTGTCTTTTACAGTTCATTTCGTGTTAAACATGACTATTATTTCTGACTTTTATATTCAGTTTCGGCTAAATTCTACTTTTTACAGTGAAAAATAAAATCTAATAGGCCAAAATTGAATTTTCCTTGTATGAATTCAGACAAATATATTAAGACCGGTTTTTTAACTACTTGTATATGTAGGAAAACTTTCTTTCATGGCAATAGAAAAAAAAATAGCATAACGCGTTTCCCGCTGTTGCTACATGTATTTTCTTCACATTTCGGAATTATTTATTCCTTGTATCACCTTGTTTTGCTTCTAATCACATGCATTTCTTCTCTTTTATCACAAGTGATTTAATTTTATCACTTTTTAGCTCACATGAGCCGAAGGCTCAAATGAGATTTTCTGATCACATTTTGTCCAGCGTCCGTCTGTCTGTCCTTCTGTAAACTTTTCACATTTTCGACTTCTTCTCATGAAAGCACTGGACCAATTTTAACCAAACTTGCCACAGAGTATTCTTGGATAAAGGGAATTCAATTTTGTCCAAGCGAAGGTCCACGCCTTCTTCCAAGGAGAGATAATGATATTACGAATTAGTGGAAAATCATTGGAGTCTTTTAAAAATCTTTTTTCTGAAGAACCAAGATGAAAATAATGTGGAAACATACTCAAGAAGTGTGCATTCAAGTTTGTTCAAATCAAGACCCCTGAACATGGTTAGGATAGGGCCACAATGAGCAATGAAAGTTTTACATAGGAATACATCGATAAAATCTTTAAAAAATCTTCTTTTCATGATCAAAAATAGTAAAGCCATCATTTTTCATATTTATTATGGAAGCATTCACAGGCAGAGTAGATTCAAATTTGTTCAAATCATGACCCTGCGGGTAGTTCGAGGCCACAATGATTTATAAAAATTTTACATAGGAATACATAGGAAAAATCTTTTAGTACAAATATCTTTTCTGCTTGAACTTTCAATAAGGCGTGACATTCTCGGCTATACATAATTATCGTCTCTCAAATAGTGGCCTAGATTCTCATGGATTGCCAGATTAGCTCATCAACACTGAAATTTACACAGCTTTTTATTCACGGGTGAAATACATATGGGATAAAAATGATTCAGACGTCAACGAGTGACGCAAAGAACCAATTACATCGTTTCTTACAGTAAAGAGATGTGGCTTATGTCATCTCATTGTTTGTTAACAACAATCTAAAGTTGCTAATGTTATTAATTTCTTAACCAATGAGAATCTAGGTCACCATTTGAGAGACGCTAATTATGTATCGCCGAGATTGTCACGCCTTACTGAAAGTTCAAGCAGAAAAGAGATTTGTACTAAAATCTTCTTCTCAAGAAGAGCAAAGCTATAATTAGTCATATCTGCATAAAAGCATCTTCAGGTAGTGTAGGTTCAAGTTTGTTCATGACCCCAGAGGTACATCGGGGCCACAATAGAAGATCAAACTCATAGGAAAAAATGTTCGAAAGCCATTATTAGTCAAAGAAATATGGAAGTATCCTCAGTTAGCGTAGATTCAAATTTGTTCAAATCATCCCCCCCCCCCCCGCCCTCAGGGCTGGTCTGGACCACTTTTATATTAAAACTTTTTAATACTGAACTTATTTCTGCTTTTTCCTAGCCAAAGTGCTCAGGTGAGCGATATGGCCCATTGGCCTTTTTTTTCTTTGTCATTTTCCCTTTTCTGTCACAAGAATTTACTCCGTTACAAAGGGGGAGAGAATGCATACGACAAAAATAATACATGAGGGATGTTTTTTATTTGGCCACATATATTCCCTATTGCTATATGTATTGCTTTGTAACAGAGAGGTTGAGATTTTAAACTTGTACGTGTACGTGTGCACAAACTTTGACGTACATGAACATGTATGCGTTTTTTGTAATTTGTCTGTTGTGTAACATGAACGTGTAGACGGTAATCGGTGTCTCTGTTTCAACTATTTAGTAGTTTTGTGACATTAGTTTGACTTGAGTTAGTGAACAAAACATGGTTAAAATAAGTGTCCATGAAATTTAACATCCTAAATAATTAACAACAATAACATTTTCACACATAAATTGACTAGTTTTTTTATTGAAAAAGCTACAAGTTTACACCTACGTGTAGATGCCTTTTTACAAGTTGTAGGAACGTGTAGAAAGCTTATCAACACCAAAACTGATGACGTAATACGCAAGAAATTTAAGGAATTCCCCTACTAGACGTACCCGTACACGTACACGTATGAAATCTCAACCTCTCTATTATCTCTCCTTTTTTATCATTTTTCCAAATGTTTTTTTAAAAAACTTTTAAACCGTTTGTAGATGCATTTCCCCCTTTTTTACCCTTTTGTCTGTTTTTCTTTCATGTTTCCCCCCCACTTTTTTCCTCCGCCATCGCATGTATATTTCCCCTATTGTCACTTTTGTCATATGTATTCTTTTTGTCACATGTTTTCCCTCTCAAAGCAACACGTATTATCCGTTTGTCACATGCACATGTGTATTATCCCTATGTCACATGCATTTTAAGTACTACTATTCCCCCCTCCTTTTATCCCATGTATTATTTCACTTTTGTAATTCTTATGTATTACTTGTAGTATGTGTCTAATTCAATAAGATATGAACATTAATTATAAATCTGAGAGGGAGTCGTGATATTGGTATTAATTGTGTTGACATTTTCTCAAATTATGCCTCATATTTGCCAAAACATGTAATGTTAATGAAAAATGAAATATATTTCTTCAAATTCTTGGGATGCATGCTGTAAAAAAATCTCTATTCGTATTGGATAGTTTTCTTTATTTTAAATATACATGTATAAAAACACAATAATGTTCTATAATTAGCTGAAATAAACGGTGAGTAAGATCGATGACTCCAAATAGGGATTCAGAATTGTCAAACCCTCAGGCTAGCAGATTTATGATGACACTTTATTAAACAGCAAATTTGATAAAAGAAAACGCATCGAGGCTTCAAATTGGGTAAAGGAGATAATTCCACATGTCGATTTAGATTTTATACAAGCCTTGATTACACCCATCATGTACATGTAGTAAAATCTAAAATCCAACATATATATATATATATATATATATATATATATATATATATATATATATATATATATATATATATATATATATATAGCACTAATTGTCTATGCACCATGTGGATATTTAATACGTACCAATAAAGTGGTTATCTTCTTAATTGCTTTTGGCAGTTTTCTTGTTTTTGATTTCTAATTCCTATTATCATTGCATACTAAAGTCAATATCCTAAAGCTGAAGTCTTCCGGAAATTCGAAATCGATCTCTGACCAAATACCTTCACTGGCAGCAAAAGAAATAGTCTTCTTCATCATGTGATGCTACTTCCATGCGATTTATAAAATGACGAATCTAATTGACGCCATGAAGCAATGTCTACTACTTCCTCCCCTCATTCTGTAATTGCTATGAAACTTAATTATATACCCCGTTATTTTTTATGAAATCACAAAAAGCAAATGAATGCTATTCCTTGGCATTGTGTGGATAGTTGATTCAAGACAGAGTGTAAGTTTCATTCAAAGTCCTTTGCCCCGATGATCAATTTCTTTTCGGTATCGATTCCAGGCAAACACTATAGCATCACCAGTTTTGAATATTAACGAAATCACGGCTCTCAGAACAAGTGGGGCTTGGTTTGATTTTAGATGTATCCTGTTCATTTTTGCCCCTGGCCCATAATTTTCATGACACTTTCCTTTTGTTTTTGGCAAATCAAAGACTTGCTTTGTCTGTGATATTGAAACAGTTTTTGGTGTAAACGTGAAAATGTCTCACTGAGATTCTTTTTTTTTTTTTACAGTTGGATTTGAATGCAAAGGAATTAAAACATCCCAATAAGGTGAGTACAGCTTTCAGAACAGTTAAGAGTTTCTCTGATAAAATAAGCAACAAAATTTATCTTGTAATCAGTGAGCAAATACAAGTAGTTATTTAATTTTTTTTTGGTTTTAATTTATTCAATTTGTATTTGTTTGTATTTGTTGTTTGTTGTTGTTTTTGTTTTATATACGTCTATTATGGTTTTCTACTACATGTACATAAATAACGAAATGCTGTAAGTTTTCTGACAGATTTATTGGTTTTAATATCTTTTAAAGGGGAAAAATTGATAAATACGTAATGAAAGTCATGCAGCTTGTCGACAAAGTATCGTTTTCTTTCTAATTGTATATTTGTTGCTATACCCAACTATTTGAAGATCTGAAATTTTTTTCAATTACTCAAAACATGCAACGATTTTTATGAGTATTATTAAGTCTTGAAAAAAATTTTTGCTAAGGAAATGTTATAAGCAAGGAGTTAACGTAGACTAAAAACCACCACCTCGATACAGGCATGTACTTGAAAAAAAGAAAAACATTATAAAGATTAAATTTTAACTTTGTGCGATTTTTAAATTTGAAAAAGGATTTTATTTCAGTTGATGTAAGATAAATGACGACATTATCGGAAAATGTTATGGGTTCAAGCTGATCGACAAATCTACGGCCCACAAGAACAATATTTTATTAAAAAGTATCGGTTTTCTGATATTAAGAAACAATAAAAGATTATTGCATAATTACGAAATATTTTTAAGCTTTATGTTCAAATTTACAATAGAGTGGACAACGTAAATATATTTATTGATTTTTAATTTTTTACTCACATAAACTCCATGTGATGAGCATCTACTAATCAAATGTAAGCTTTGCTGAAAATTATTTAATTTGTTTCTGGCCAAAAACATGCTTAAAAACATTATATTTTCTCCCAAGTACTTTTTATGCCCATGTACAATATTCCGAATATCTACTGGACTCGTTGTCAGGCAACATTCATTTCAGATACATGTAATTCGTAATCTTCACCTTCCAAATGTTATGATGAGTCTTAATGTTGACGATTTGAACATTTCACAAAAAATGCACTTTTAGATTTATCAAGCATTTTGTTGTCTTATTCTTAAGGACTGTTAAAAAAAAAGTTTTTATAAGAATTTGAAATGGTTACATATATAATGAATCACCCGCTACCTACATCGGAATATGTATAGAATTCTTTGTAGTTTGTATTAATAACGATATTATATATGTTTTCCCAGAATATTACATATAGTGAACCTCTAAGTCTGTTTAAAACTTCTTGATTAATATTGTGTAATGAATATGTATATTAATTCAGCTTGTACGATAATGTAGTAAGTTTGGAGAAGTTGCCAAGAGTATTCATTTCACAAACAATGAATATAACAATGTTTATGTCACATCTATGATATCTCCAGGATTACGTAGCAATACTCTTTCCCTCTAAATGTCGCTCTTACTTTCTCTCTCTGGCATATACATTGCTCTATGTCTCTTTTTCTCTCTATCATGCTTTGCCTTAATGTCTTGCTTTCTTCATCTCTTTCTCTCTCTCTCTCTCATGCTTTACTCTGCCTTTTGTCTTGCTTTCTTCCTCTCTCTCTTATGCTTTAATCTGCCTTTATGCCTTGCCTTTTTCTTCCTCTCTCTCTCATGCTTTACTCTGCCTTTTATGTCTTGCTTTCTTCCTTTCTCTCCTCATTGGCGACATCAAATACGCACCATAAAGGTTTCCGACCAATGAAGCCTATGCTACTAAAGATATCAAAGGGACAAGAAAACATTTTAAGATGATTATCGTGTGTCTGATGAGTTGACACATCTTTTATCTTAAGAGAATGTCTCTGGACAACAGAGGTGAGCACGTCATAACGTGATTGTGTTCCAGTGTATAAGGACTTAAATAGCGTATTTTAAAATAAATTTAGTTTGACGACAGCAACGTCATCAGATGATGATTTCATCACTATCAGATGATTTCATCACTATTAGGTGAGGACATCATGATCAATGTCAGATGAGGAAAGTTCTGTCCAAAAAAGATACAGTTAATGTATGAAACGTTTACTTTGTAAACAACCCTCTGTTAAAATGAACACTAAAAATAACTGTATTGCTGAAAAAATCCTTTGCAGAACAAAGTACGTGTACTGCTTTAAATTTCTTGTCATAACGAAGACAAGGTACGCAGATTGCTGTAAATTTCCTGCATGTTGTAATATACAGAATAAAGGACGTGCACTGCTCTAAATTTCTTTGATATTTTACAAAAGAAAGCGTAATGCTGCTGTTAATTTCCTGCAAGCGCCATAGACTATACCACTGCGTCGATACTGTGATATCGTGTACGTATCTTGTGGCGCTGTTGGAGACCTTCCCACGGTGTTACAGTGCACTACGGCGTTTCTACTGCATGTATATCAGAACACAGTGCGTACTTTGTGCGTTCTCAAGGTGCGCGCTGTCGCTCACTTGGAGATCCCACCGATCGAGTTCGGAGACTATACAGCGCGCTAGTCTTCAGTATATACTAGTATGAACTATATTAGTTATTTATATAAGAATATTTTTTATGAAGATATGTTCAGCATAATTACATAATTATGATGCTCGTTTCCTATGGTACATAGACTTGTGAAAGACGGTGCATATACAAACATACACTGCGATTTGACATGTTCCTTTCACGTATAATTTCAATGTTTATGTTATTGCCTCATCGAGCAAATGAGTAGAAAATATTTCCATGCAGAACGGAAAAAAGAAACTTGCAAGCTAGATCAAAAGTATTTTATTTAAAAAGATTCAAGTTGGCTTTTTAAATACATTATGCACAAGTAAATTTTTTTTCTGCGGCTTTCATTAGACATTTTTGGAATTCAGATATCCTGTTAAATAATAGTTATATTCAATAAAATTCTGTCAATTTAAAATATTTTTTATTGATCGACAAGAAGGTTGTCAACCTAGAAATCAATATAAGACGAAATGAACTTAAATATATAAATTTTGGACTTATTAGCTCACCTGAGCCAAAAGACAGTAAATTCTGTCGGTAGTCAAATGTGCACAATATATCTTGCAATCATTTTATTTTTTTTTTTGCAATCAATCTCTTGATGTCAATAAAATCTTAAACAATGCGTTTTCTAATAAATAAAATTAAGACTCATTTAAATGAATGGTGTCGCTGTTTGTCATATGTATTAAACAAATAGCGAAAAACGAACGAGGATATTTTAAGCATTTTAATCACATCTTCGAAAATGCCAAGTCTTACAAACCATGGTCTATATATAAAATTTTATATATCCTTCTGAAGAATTACTGTATAATAACAATGTCACCTGTAACCGGTCGACAGGGGATGCTTACTCCTCCTAGGCACCTGATCCCACGTTTGGAATTTCCGGGGTCCGTGTTTTATGTCTTATTCACAGATTTGTATTGTTTCGTTTGTGGATTCTTTTTTTGCTCGATCAATGTTATCTTCACCTTTTTCAGTGCAGATATCTTAATGTTGTCTAACTTATTAATGCATTTAGTTCTAACTGGCTATGAAGCAGAAATGGGTATCACCTTTAATTGATTGTCCTTAACTACATGTAAGTATATGTATGGAGTCAAATTGACAGGGATACTATAGTAACATGTTTGTTCTCTGATGCATCAGTAATGCAGGTAGATCGTATGGTGCTAAAGGCTATAGAAGAATTAATTATTATATCTTAAACAAGCCAGGAAATAATTTCATAATTTTCTGATCCTCATTTTTTCTTTCTTTCTTTTCTTGTTTGAGTCTTTATAAGAGCAACGACTCTTTAATTTGCCAAAAAGAAATTCATTTATCTTACCCAGTTGTCCTTGAAGTCAGTTTTAAAACTGTGTGTTTAAATTTAAACATTGCGTAATATGTGGACGTGCTTATAAAAACAGTTTTTATTCTCAGTCACTAGGAAGTTACATGGAATGCTAAATATAACTTCTTTGAAAATAAGTATTTTCAAATTTTCAGCAATTAAAAACAAAACTAGTATTTCCTTTTGAATCTAAATATAAAAACTTAGTTTCCGCAATGATAAGTGGTAATTAGTAATATTTCCTTTTAAATATAGACATGGGTGTACTTTAATATCATATCTAAGTGTAAATAATAACATTGCAATTGCATTCTTTAAATACCATACAAAATGTGTTCTAGTGAGCTAGTTAAGGAACGTAAAGTGTGTAAAGTAGTGCGTACCAGAATTAGAATCAACAATCTATATTGAGTGTGGAACTGCATTACGTAACTCGACAAAACAGATTTTTAGCGCATTTCTTGAGGTAAATATATTTATAGCTATTGATATTGATTGATTGTATGTTGTTTTACGTCCCGTTTGAGAATTTTTCACTCATATAGAGACGTCAACATATATATGCTTCAAATTTAAACATTTACTCGGCACTCAGGGCCATTGAGCAGTGAGGGTTCTTTAACGTGCCAACGCTTACCGTGACAAGGGACCTCGGTTTTTAAGGTCTCGTCCGAAGAGCCCGCAACTTTCACTTCAAAGTGCTGAGCGCTTTGCGATGGAACAGTTGCTACCTATTTTTTTTTTATCGACTTACGTCAGTCGCGGCCGTGATTGGAACACACGACCTTCCGATTACGGAGCGAGCGCTCTACCGACTGTAGTTACCGTGGCAGCTAGTTGAGAAAAATTGATATTTTACAATTGCATTGTCTCACCGTGCAAACGCCAAATCCAAGAACATTTAATTGAAAAGTTTTGTTTTATAAAGTTATTTCAAGAAAAAATCTGATAGGAACATAAAGACAGTAGCTAGTAAGCAAAACGAGAAAATGGGCCTCTATGAATACTTGTTTAAAACGATCCTGAACTGATGCAGTATCGTTTTTAAAGGGAAGCAGCCCGTAAGAAAAATTGACACCTGTAAAATCTTTGACATGCAAAACAAAAAAGGATACATGTATTGTCCAAACTCG